GAGAGGCACAGTGGAGGAGGCGTTAAGAAGACTGAGAAACTGAATGATTTCAATGTGTCTTTGTTTTTGATTTTTATCCTTTGATTCAGTGTAAATATTTTTTGTAAAACACTGAAAGAAATAATAATACTGTGAAACAAAGTGTCATTCTGGTTTGTCTGTCTCTTTGCCTGTCTGTCCTTTCATTTTTCTTTTCTTTGCTCATCTTATTTCTTCTTCTACTTCACGTGCTCATGCTCTTAGTCAATAGTTCTGTGACAATATATATATATATATATATGACGATATATATATATATATATATATATATATATATTCTGTTTGTGACGATATATATATAAAACCTAGGTTTTAGGGTCGGTGGGGGGTCACGTGGGGGTGTGTTGTGTTCGACGGATTGCATGAGGTTTGCAGTTTCAAACTGTTTTCGTGACTGCGCCCAAGTTTATTAGTGAGTTTTGGTTTTCCCATCTTTGTAATTGGATTCGTGTGCAGGTTTCTGTGGCCACGGCTCGGGCTATCATCGTGTTAGCGGAAGTACAGAACGCTGATGAGGTCTGTTGTTGTCCTTCAATGGCAGCCCTCTCGTCTTTCAGTGGTTCCTCTTGTTGCTCAGTTCTTGGCCCCCAATTTTTATTTTTGATTCTTTGAACGATTTCTTTTTTCTTGCTGTTGTTTTATTATTCGTTTTTTTTTGTTTTTTTAATCTGGGCTACCCGCTACGGGGTTCCCAATATGACTATAATTAGGAGTCATCACAAACTGCAATTCTTCCTTTCACTTAACTCGGTAATTCCAAATGCAATTTTTTTTTTAAAGTGATTGGGGGAGAGATTGGAATCGAGTTCCCAACCCAGAACTACATATCCTCCAACCTGCCCCCCCCCCCTGGCCAGACACACAGTTCGAGCAGCTCACTTCTTGGGCGACACGCTGCTGGAGCAGCGCTACAGCGCTACGCTGGAGGTAGAGGTAGATGTGTAGGTAGGGAGTGAGGAGGCCATACCTGCATCGGCGGAGATCCTACCTGGGCGCCATAGCTGGTCTTCGCACCAGCGCTGCAGCACAGAGGAGGATCCCCACCCTGGGGCGTCGGGCCAGCCCTTAACGGCTTCATAGTTAACAATTTCTCTCTACCATCCCTACCGCTCACTGCACTCGGGTTCACGATCTTTTACTTGCACATCCACCATCCCATCTGAACTTGGAATGCTTACTTTTCTAATGACCCGCAAAAAACACAGGCTGAGAACACTGCTGATTTCTGGGATTTGTCACTGGAATGAATGCCTTGCTGTGATTCCCGCATTCTGCTGTGGTTTCCAAGTCTGTGTGTGTGTGCGTGCCTGCTGGTTTGCATGCCTGTCTGAGTGCTTGTCGGTTGAGTGTGTGTGTGTGACCCGCAAGGGTACTTGTTGGTTGCAAGGCCCCGCAGGGCCGGTACTTACCTGTGGCCGTGACTTTGAGGGTTGCAGGGGGGTAAACACTCAAGTAGCGGGGATAGGCCCGCGACACTTAGAGCAGCGGGGAAAAACACTCAAGTAGCAGGTAGGCCGTCACCACTCGAGTAGTGGTAGGAGTGTCGGGTACTGGAGGCCGAGCAGAAGAAGACAAAAAGTTGGCATTTTTAGAGGCCCAGTAGCGGTAGGATAGAGGTAGGCCAGTACCAGTCCAAGTAGCCTGGGTCTAGGGCCTGTCCGGAGGTTAGCAGAGCCTGCAATGATGTTTCCCTCCGAAAGGGAGGAGGTACCGGTTGCTGGGAGGCCGCTCGGCCTAGGAAGTCACC